GTTTTATTTCCTTTAAAAAGTCAGTAAAAATATTTATATTTATATTATTAATATTAGGGCTGCAACGATTAATCGATTATTAAATTAGTCATCGATTATTTTCAAAATCGATCAGTAGTTGATTAATCGATTAATCGTTGCAGCCCTAATATTAATAATATAAATATAAATATTTTTACTGACTTTTTAAAGGAAATAAAACAGAACGTAATGTGTTGCTAGTTTTATTTAATTTAAAGTGTTGTCAAACAAAACTATCTACTTTACCATATATTTACCTAGAAAAAAAGATAAAATCCTTACTTAACTCCTGACAGAGAAACAAAAAAGTGATGCTTGAAAAAAAAAAAAGGATCCTTTTTTTTACCTCCTTCAATTAGTACTCACTGTAACGTGCGAGCTATGAGGGCTGAAAACCTGCACACTGAGAACCACAGAGTCAAATAATTTTGGAGCACGGGAACTCATCTCCATTTATTCAAAGAACTCTCCTCTCTTCTCTCCATACAGGGGAGGAAAAACAAAACAAAAATCTATCAGGGTCAATATGGCTACAACAAGAGTACTGCCCTTTTTTTTTCAAAATCAAAGCACACATTATAAAACTCTCTCGCAGGCGGCAACCTGGTGCTGAGCTTCCAGGACCGGTTTCACCTGGTCAGATCTGTTCCTTTTATTGCCTGGAACAGATCCATCAGGTGGGTTTCTGAATTTTATGCATTTTTGCAGAAATATCGCCCGCTAGGGGTTTCTGGCTAAATCCAGGCGGGAGAGCGGGTGCTGGATGCAGGACCACGGTTCCACCTTACTGGATCTCTTCCTTTTATTCCCCTGCATCAGCACCAGCAGCCCCGTGTTGGAAATCAGCCGTTTAACCCGCCGGAGCTCGCCCGACGACTTTTGATCACTTATATCTCCGCGTGGGAACATCTCAGGAACTTGCCATCACCTCCAAGTTGTAGCAGAGATCCAGAACATTAAAATGAGCTGTCTCCCGCCCGGATCTGATGCTCAGAACCGGTGCTAGAGGCTCTGGAGTAAATTGAGTACTATATCGCCCGCCAAAGCGCCTTTTTCAGCCGGTCGTTAGTTAATAGCTCCGCTGGGAAACGTCCCAGGAACTTGCAGCCACCTCCAGTTTGTAGAGGAGGACTTCAGCTTTCCAAAGTCAACTCATTTTCCTGGATCCGATGCTCAGAGCCCGCAGGAGAAGCAAACGAAAGTTGAAATTTCCTCTCAAAAATGCGCATAAAATCGTGCGTAATTTGCTTATAGCTCCATGGGGCAACGTCACAGAGACTCCATTCAAGTATCAGCTTACCAGAGTTTTAAATCCCGACCAGCCAATCCAGGATCCGATGCTCCTAGCCCGGGGAGGGGGGCTAAAACCACCCCGGCAGAGGTCCGATGGTACATAATTTTGTAGGTTTTTCGCTTATATCTCCGCTGGTTGGGCACCCCTGACCTAAACAGTGGTTGTGTCAACCCCTGTTTTACGCTGATTTAAAAAAAAACATCATTATGAAGGTGTGGCGGCTTTTATTTTGCCGTGGCAGAGCCCCACAATCAATTACATATAGGGGAAACCCTGTGTGTCCCAGTAGGAACTGGGCAGTGTTGCTGGGGAGTGGGAAGTCTGGGTTTCTCTCCTGGACCTGTTGGCTCTACGACTTGACCACGACGAATAAGTGGTAGAAATGGAGATGTACAAATTGTAAAGAAACCTTCACTAAGTAATCTAGTGCTGCACAGTTATTCGAAACATTCTTTGACGATAATGAAAAATGTTTGACACGAAATTTTATTATTGAATATTCGTAATATTTAACCACATAAATATTCATTTGTATCTTCAATGAAATACATGAACTGCTGGGGGCAGAATCACTTCTATTTTCTGTAGTTGCTTTGTTTACTACTGAAGACGTGCCGGCCTCCAAAATACAGGAGAAGCTGCAGAGGGCCCATCAAAGAGAAATGATAATTGTGGAACAGAAAGACGATCACGTGAAAGAGCCAACAAAAATAAGACTTAAACTTACAAAAGTTGGCTACATTACCATGGCAGCAAGGCAGCAGTGAAAACATCATGATCACCTGAACCACTAACACGCAGCAGCCGTGATTATGTCCACTGCAGATAGGAAAGTTTCAAAAAGTTAGCTTGTTCGTCAGGTTGATGCCTTTTAAATCTTACCATCAGAAAACGGTGTGAACCGGAGCTATCAGTTTGTGCTAACGTTAGCTAAAGCATTAAGTGACATCATATTAAGTCACTGTCAGGACTTGGTTTTTGAATTTCACTGAAATGTCACACACCAGAGAAGCTTTAACAATTTTATTAAAAAATGTACAGCTGGATTTGGAACCAAGCGCCACGGGAATCTGGAGCTCTAAACAACAAAGGATGAGGTTAGTGACTCGGAGGGACAAGGAGCTTGTGGATTTAGAGAAAAGA